CTTCTAGATTCTTGATCTCTCCATCGCCCCATGCTCATATTTTTAGTCGTATTATGCTTATCTTATTCCTTCTGTTTATATTCCACTACCCGTTTGTACTCCTATTATCTTCTCTTCATAACCAAGATATCACCAGCGTGGTCACTCCTCTCACTAGTACTCGTCCCATGTTTGTTCTTTTCCATGCGATCATTAATCAACCTTATTATCACTATGCCTCTCTAACGACCCCAGAAACCTTGGTGGAAACCAGTTCACTGGACCCATTCCCGATGGATTTAGCTCGCTCACAAGACTCACTCAACTGTAAGCAAGATTACTTCACTGCACCCAGGCTCGCCTGCCTCTCTATCTCCGTTCCGCCCTTTCCCCTTCTGCTCTTCTGATGCATTGACCATTCTCCATTATTTGGTCCTGTCCATTGACCCTTGCTTTTTTATTAGCCTGTGGTTCGATTCACCATTCTCTACAACTTCAGCTACTGCCCTTTCCATGTCTGTCCGTCTATTTCAGTGACCTTTCATCGAACCAGTTTTCAGGCAGCTTTCCTGACGGCTTCAGCAGCCTCTACAATTTGCAAACCTTGTGAGTATATTAAGTTCCTGGTTCCTGACGAATGCATTTGACGCCTTGTTACTCGGTACTGAAGAGAGGAATGCAAGACCGAACACCAGCATCCTAACCAAGCCAAATACAAGATGAAACCACCCTGAGCAGTTTAAAGCAATGCGGACCGCCAAAATATACACCCGAAGTTTGATTGTATTCAAGCAATACATGTCCTCCGGACTTCACTGCAGTTCAGATTACTGATTTGTGAATCCATAAGTTACAAGTTGTATCACAGTCAACCATATCCCTGTACGATTAGGTCGTACGGCTAGCTTTCAACTTTCTCTGAAATCCCTGCTTTTGTGTCTGCTTCTTTGTGTGTGTGTTCCCTACTTGTGTCTGCACGATTATTTCTTGCTACAGGCGTCTCCAAAAGAACCTTCTCACTGGCTCAATCCCTTCTGGCATTGGCAATATGGATCTGACATTCCTGTGAGGCCTTTATAGTGTTATCCTGCCTTTTTTGCACGTCACACAGTGGATACTTGTAGTGAGAGGATTTGAGAGAAGAGTGTGTGAGATGAGTGAGATGCTTTGCACCAACCAATGGCTTACAATTTGAACCAGCACTCATGGCCCATGCTATAGATTGAAGTCACACTGCAAGCAAGCTATGCTCGTGCTACCTCTTTTTATCCCGTGCTTGCTATTTCTAGCACACGTACCACCCAAGCCAAGTAAGGCGTCCTTCGATATGACATGAGTTGGACATAATGCTGTCGTCATGCTTCATTATCTCATAATGATCGCAGCATTAAGACAGGAACTATACAGCTGCCTGCTCTTCTCTGCAATTTGCTCTTCCAGCTTCGCTCATGTTTTTTTTAACTCCCCTTCCTTCATATTTCTCCTTCCTTCACGTTAATCGTTACAGGTCTTTAAGCTATAACCAGTTCTCTGACCCTATCCCCTCTGAAATTGATTCCCAAAAGAGACTGTTTGCCCTGTAAGGAATCTTCACTTAAACTAACGCGCATTGGTTGTTGTGCTGTTTTATTTTCAGTAAGTATTCAGTTATTTGAATCAACGTGTGTGTAAACACGAATACGTGCTGTTTTTGTGATAGCTACTATGGTAGTGATCCCCCCTTTTGCATTTCTTCTCAATTAACTCCTTTTTTTTGGTCTACTTTATTTATTTTGTTTTTCCGATGCAATCCATCTTATCAGCTTCATCTCGCAAGTGCCACCCCTTTGCACGTTTCATCCTGTCCCAGTGATCTTTCATCCAACAAGTTCTCAGGCAGTGTCCTCCCTGCTAGCTTGACAGATCTTAGCAAACTGCAAAAACTGTGAGTTACTTTGCTCGAAAGAAAGATTTCTGTTGTGGATGGTGGTGGAAGGACAGGTGCAACGAGAAATGAGAGGGACAGGTGCAACGAGAAATGAGAGGCGTGTACTGCATTGCTGCTGTGCTATCCTCTGAATTAAACATGAACAGATACTGAGTCAAGTTTTACTCGACTCCGAGATGTTTTGAACAGAATCCGTATTTGTTATTCTCGCTAACCAAGTGAAAGTTTCTAGGCAATATTTCCTCAACCCGAACGCTCATTTCTATTCTAAACGTTCTTTTTCCTTATGCATCCCTCTCCTTTTGATGTGGTCTCTCCATCTATGCTGTTCCCACTACGAATCGCAGGCGTCTTGACAACGTGGGGTTCACTGGCCCTATCCCTACTGTGATCTACTCCTTGACATCACTGAAAGAACTGTATGGTCTTTTACTAGTCATTTCATGTGCTATATGCATTACCTGCATCTCCTCTTGCTCGCACACTCGTTTCTTGTTTCCTGCTATGTACTGTCATGTCTCTTGCATGCTTCAGTTCTCTAACCTGGATCGACCTATCAAATGCTCTCTTCGTATCTGTGCATCAACACAGGTCTATAGTTAACAGCCAAATCAATGGCTCAATCCCCACGGCTATCACCTCTCTCTCAAACCTGCAAACCCTGTAAGTCCTAGTGTATGACTTGTTGGTGTGTGCTTACAAGTGTCCCCCACTGCTTCCAAACCTGGGATTAATGATTACTGCTACAGAGCAAAGCAGATGAGCAGAGAGCAAGCAAAGCAGATGAGCATTCGCCCCATTAGTCAATCAATCAATCAATCAATTAAATAGCTCAGTTTGTTGCCATCCCATCCTATCAATTCATAATCAACCTACCCGTCATTCCCTTCATCCATCCACCCCCTTAAACCAATTCTCATCGCATCAGTTAGATAATGGGTAGTAGACCTGTCTTCAATCTATCCATCAATCTATTCATCCATCCGTACTACCAAAACCCCTTATGGGCATCCTCTCTAGGGACTTGTCATCAATCTACCCTTCACTCTGTTCATCCATCTGTACCCCCAAAACCCCTTATCTCCACTCCACTACAGGGACCTTTCCCGCAACCAGCTCTCTGGGCCTATCCCTTTCAAGCTTGGCTTCTTGGACCGTCTGGTCTCACTGTGAGTGTTGACACGAGCACCCATCCATCCATGTGCCTGCTACCATTCCATCTTTGCATCACCCATCCCATGCCCGCTGCATGTTTGCTTCGCTAGCGTGAAAATTTCTAGCACAAAATACCCTTATATTACCCATTCTTTCCTGCACTCCCTCACTGCAATGCTGCTGCTATCACATGCTTTGCAGCTGCTCCAACCGTTGCTGCCTCATTACTGAATGCCCTGCTAATGTCACTGATGCTGCTGCTGCAGGTGCTGCTCCTACTATTGCTGCTGACCTACTGATTCTGCTGCTAACATTGCTGATGCTGCTACTACTACCACTAATACTGCCATCACTGCCGCTGTCCATTTCACCGCAACTACAGCTCCTCTTTTCGCTCTTTCATCTGGTCATTTATCTCCGCAAACTGTGTTTTAACTGATTTGCATGCTGCAAGGTTATCAGAAGAAATCCTTTGATGCATGATCAAACCCCACGCTTATCCACCCCTCCTTCTCTGTGCCCCTCTGGCCTATAGGAACTTGGGCTTTAATGCGCTCTCTGACTCCATCCCTTCGAAACTCAGCTGGTTGTCCAATCTCGTTTTCCTGTAAGCCGCTCGTTGACTGTGCGGCTTGCTTCTCAAGTTGTTCCCCTCTCGTCCTGTCACACCAGTGTGGTCTATAGAGCTAACTAATCGGTTCCTTACCACGTATAGCATGTCACAACTTTCCACTAGATTGTTGTGCTACGCTCCTTGTGCTACTGCATCACTTGTATTCTCGCTTGCCAGCCCTCCTCTCCGGTTTTTTCCATAAGCTGGGAGTCAAAGCATGGACTTCTGACGTACAACTACCCATACACCTCTTTTTTTTAGGTGCCTCAAAATTACCCTACAGTCCTCTGCTGCTGCATGTGCGCAGCCTTGTTTGCAATCCATCGACCTCTCTGATCTCCTTCTGTCCCAACCGTCTGTGTGCTCTCCTCTCTAATCCTCCTTCTCTCCTTGTGTGTTCCATCCTTCTGCTCCGCTCTCTGTCCACACAGAGATCTAAGGATAAACGACCTCAGTGGGCCTCTCCTCCCAGCTACCATCACCCCTCTGAAGAGTCTCTAGGAACTGTAAGGCGGATCTTCATGTTCTTACACAAGCTTTCTCGTTATAATTGAGAAAGGGGATGATGCATGTTGACGAAGCACAGTCAGACTGTACACTGATGAGTGGTTTGATGCTGTGTCAGTACAGTTTGTGACCACTTCTGTCAATCTGAATCTGTCAATATGCAGGTGGCTTGACAGGAACAAGCTCACTGGCTTCATTCCGACTGTCATTGGCAGCCTTACCAATCTTGTGCACTTGTGAGTGGCGATTGATCCGTGTGCATCGCTATTAGATGCAACAACAGTTGGTCGGTACTGAATTAATCAACCCACGATTTTCTTAACAGTCACAACAACCCTCAGCACAAAAACCACTATTGTTTGCAATGCAGTCTAGCACCATTGGAACATGTCTTTTGCGATGCCTCCTGAACATGGGGAACCATCAAGAGGTCTTTCATCTCCAACATGGGGAACCATCAAGAGCTCTTTCATCTTCAAGATGGGGAACCATTGCAATGCTCCTGAACCTCCACACCTTTCCTCTCCACTCCTCTGCTCTCCTCTGCTTCTCTCTCCTCTCCTCGCCTCTCTTCGCCTCTCCTCTCCCCTCCTCTCCGCTCCCCTCTTCTCCTCTCCTCTCCTCTCCTCTCCTCTCCTCTCTTCACCCCTCCTCTCCTCTCCTCTCCTCTCCTCTCCGTTTCTCTATCCTCCCTCTAATGCTTTCTCCCCCCCCACTGTGCATGCAGTGCAAACATGCATATCATATTTCATTCACCATCATGTCTCTTCGCAATACCTTTACCATCCCTCCACCATCCCTCCACCATGCCTTCACGTGATGGCTCGCAGGTCTCTTCCCAACAACCTGCTGTATGGAAGCATACCAGAAGCAGTCACCTTGCTCACAAACCTCAAGACTTTGTAAGTCTCTTTTTGAATTGCCTGCAAGGAATCCCAGTCACACACTTTTTCTTCCTTCCTTCTTTTCAAATCAGTGTGCTCTCGTTTGAATGATTTGCTGCATCACTGTCATGAAGCAACTTCCGCATTTATCTAGCGCATTTGCTGCACAAGAGCGTACTGTCAACCGTTCAATGCACTGCCGTGTGTCACTATGGCGTGTTGCCTTGTTCTTGCACCGTGAGAACAGGGCACTGTTGAATGTGAGAACAGGGCACCGTTGAATGCGAGAACAGGGCACCGTTGAATGCACTACTTGGTCCTACCGAGTCTACCCACAGGAGATCATTTTTGGTCGACTCAAAATTCTTCTCACAATAGACACACCTTTTTCACTTTCTGGATCCAATCCCACAAGAACAAGCCAGCCACACTGTATATCACTCTCGTCCTCATACTGTTGCCATTGGCAGCACTAAACTTACTGAGGTGCCCTCCGCCCCTGTGCTTTCCCCCCACCACTCTCCCTCCCCCCACCCTCCAAAGCGACCTCTCTCGCAACTATTTCACAGGCCCCATAGTGAAGCCAGCTGACGTGCTGGCTGTGCTTTCATACAACTACCTCTCGGGCACTCTGCCTGCTCAGCCGACAGACTTGCTGGATGCAAACTGCTTCAAACTGGCTGACGGGGAAACCACACCCCTGCAGCGTTCCGAATCAGAATGCTTGGCGTTTTGTGGCGTCTCAATAGGTTCTGTCGCCCCTCTGTGCACGGGGCATGGGGTGTGTTACCCCGATGGGCCTAACTTGGTGCCTACCTGCTTGTGTGATACATTGCAAGGGTACAACTTGTTTCGACGGGTCTACTGTCTTGTTGATGGTAAGCGGAGCCATTGTTTAATAGAAAATGGCTTGGGATGGGGGCGCAAGATTGATGAGTGTACGTGCATCCCTGTTCTCGAAACTCTTCTCTGTTTTGATTTCAGTTCACACAGCACAGCACGCCATCACTTTGATCCTTTCCAGCCTTCAATATCGCCCTTTCCCCAAAAACCCCTCCTCCTCATCCTCTCCGTGGCTTCTTTTTTCCATCCGTCCACACGAATTCCTTGCAGAAACGGACCTTGTCTCTCCAGTAGAGGGGGAAATTATCCCTGCATCAACCGTGCTCACAGCAGGAGTGAAAAAGGAGGCAGTAGGAATGTTCAACCCAGACCCAGTGCCTCTCTTCATGTATGAAGCTGGGCGTGTGTACCCAGGCTGTGGGTTCGAGCTGGCCTTCAGTGTCAACTTCACCTTCGCCCTCTCGCCTAAAGGCAGGGCTGTTTCCAACGGCTTCGCTTTTGTCGTTTCGGCGACCAACACAGTGGGGAGCGACGTTGGCGTGGGCTACGGTGGGATGGACACCCGAAGCATGGCGGTTGAGTTTGACGTGCTTCAAAACAAGCCGCAAGACACCATCAAAGTCCCGCACGTGGGGGTGAATATCCAGGGCCAGGAGAAATCAGTCGCAGCTGTGAAGTCCCCGTTCCCACTGGCCAACAAGAAGCCGTACACAGCATGGGTGGATTATGTTCCTCGGGACCCCGGATTCGTTCGGGTGTTCCTCGCAACAACAGCAGTGAAGCCAATGAAGACACTGATAGAGACCCGCCTGTCCCTGTGTGCGGTGCTGAAACCGGGGCCGCCCCAGGCTGTCCCAGAGCAGCCGCGGGCGTTCTACTTTGGCTTCGTGGCATCCACCACAGTCAAGCCATTCATGATTCAAACCACTACGAGCTCGTACCTGCGCACAGGTGAGAATCGGGCTGGTAGCTCCTTTGTTGCCTCACAGATATCCCGCTCGCCTGCTTGTCATCCTAAATATGCCATGCCAGCTCCCTTAATGGCTTATCATTCATACCATCCTCGCTTCTGCCCTGCGGACGGGTGGGTGGGAACGCTCGCTCAAGCCAAAGCCCTAGAGGAGGGTCTGACCATCCTGACCCCTAGGCTGCTTGCACTTGTAGCAGTTACGCTAACCTCTTGGCCTTGTGAGCCCTCCCAGCATCGATCAATGCCCCAAGAACCGGTCTGCTCTTTTCCCTCTTTCTTCCATGCCTGTCTTCCTTCCTACAGGTGCTCCTCCCCCACCTGCAACAGTCAACATCAATCCAGGCAAGTCCTTTCATGTTAACACAGAATCAATCAATCAAACATGCTTCACCCACGAGTGGGTGATTTTCTAAGTTCACCAATACCTCTAAAAATCTAACATTCTTACTGTTCTGACATGCTTTCTTGTCTTCTAGGCTCTAACACATACCTTCTCAATGGCAGCACCAGTTGCATCCATACATCTACCCGTCACGTCCCCTCACATCTTTCCCTCAAACCCAACTTGTGTCGCTCATCTGCCACTGCCACTCGCTCCCCAAATGCTCACACGCACTTATGTTTCCCATTCTACAGCCTACGGATTAAATGTAACGCTGAATACATACGTGCCGGTACGAGCAAGCCCCTTCCCGCGCTATGTGAGTGCGGACTACCGAGTGTCGGCCGGGCAGAAGGACTCGTGGGTCTTCAGGGACCTCCACTCCTGGGACTCCGTGCCCTTCCTGGGCTGGCCCGTCAAGGACCAGGGTGACTGCAGTGAGTTCAGGGTATGGTAATGCTAGTCTGAGCGATTGCAATGAGTGCCACGCCAACAAGGGAGTATTCTTTCTGCATTCTTGCATTCTTTCTGCATTCTTGCACTCTTTCTGCATTCTTGCATTTTTTCTGCATTCTTGCATTCTTTCTTGTTCACCAGCTCTCTACCCACTATTAAAGCTACTTCCTGCGCTTCCTTCTGCTCTCCTACAAATGCATGCTGGGCATACGCAGTGGTGTCGAGCATAGAAGCAGCATACGGCATCGCGACAAACCTAGAGGCGCCTAAGCTGTCAGTGGATTCACTCTTCACAGCCATGGGCCTCACCACCCAGACAGCCAAATGCAACGCTGGAGGCTCACCCACTGATGCCTTTGAGAAACTAATGGCGCTGCCAAAGGGGGCCATTACTATGGACGGCAATAAGGTATGGAAGGCAATAAGGGCGTTCTGAGCACTGTTCAGGTTGTGCGGTCATCTTAACGGAATAAAAAATAACTCAATGCCAGTGACATTCTCACTCGTTATAGCCCAACACTCTCTCGCAAATCTCTCCTCTCTTTGCCAATCTAATAACCTCATTTTTCTGCCCTTTTTACATCGCATTCACTTCCCGTCCCAACCCTCACGACTTACTCTTCTGCATTACAGAAAATCACGTACCCTGTTCAGGGCTTTGAGCGCACCGCATTCAAGGGGTATGTCGGGCTTTTGCTGGCAGTGCAGAAGCAGCCAGTGGTGGTTCACATTGAAGCCACTGTTGCCTCCTTCGCCAAATACGACGGGGTGAGTGAAACCAAGTCGCTTTTGTTTGTCTACAAATGGTTGGTTGCTCCTTTCCGCTTCCTGCTTGCCACAAGTGATGTGGCACAGTTTATCGCTACATTTCTACCAGTAATGTGGGGAACAGGAACGTGAATATATGTCATGTAACTCATACAATGTTATGCTGTTTATAAAAGAACAACCAGTGCTCCTAATGTTTTTTTTTACTTGATATGCACCTTGGCAATGCCTATACGCTGTGCATATACACTTCCTTATTTATGTTATCTAACCAGTATATTTTCATGTTTGCCTTTCTGTCTCCAGACTTTCAAGTACCAGGATCCTGGCTGCTATACCGGCAACCTGAACCACGTCGTACTTGTTGTTGGATACTTCGTTTTGAGGGATGATGGGAGTGAGAACCGCATTGCGCCGCCGTTTTGGATCATCCGCAACTCGTGGGGCGAGGAGTGGGGAGACAGGGGCCACATGCGAATGGACATGCAGGGAGGCGATGGCGTGTGTGGCATCAACGTGCTGCCTGGCATCTACCCCATTGTCAAGAGTGAGGCACCTACCATATCAGGTTGTTTTCCTACTTCTTCAAGGGTCAAAAATCGCTTCCATTCCCAAGAATGGAGCATATCTATGAGTTATTTGCATGCTCCTGGTTCTTTCTATGGAACTTCAGCTTTCCACGGGGTTCATTCATCCTTCCCTTATCTCCTCCTGCCCTCTGTATCTTGTGTGCCATCCAGTCCCCAAGAAACACTGATAACAGCTTCTTTAAGGGTCAGCAAGCACGCCCATTCCCAAGAAAAAGAGCTATTTGCGTGCCCCTTTCCATCTCTTTCTCTTTTGAGGGGTTCATGAGAAAGCTGACACGTCAGCTTTCCTGAGGTTCATGGGGTTCATCCTTCCCTTATCTCCTCCTGCCCTCTCTCCCTCTCTTCTGTGCCTTCCACTTCCCAAGGACCCATGCGGCTTGAAGAGCTACAAGGGCGATGGAAATCTTCAGCCCAGCATGAACCCGTGCGGTCGCTTCACCTGCATGCCCAACCTCAAGACCAACAGCAACACCTGCAACTGCACCATTCCGGATCAGACCAAGCAGCCTTTCGTTGAGGCACCAAACGGATATGGAAACATCTGTGTATATGGTGAGATACGGTGTATTGCTTATTGTTGCAACGTTCCTTCATGGTTCTGTGTGCTTCTTGGTAGCTTTTCTAGGTTTTGAAACCATGCAGGGCCGTAAAATAAAACAAACAAACAAACAGACCTTTCACATGTGAACAAATACCACTCACATGTATGTATTGTATTTCTGTGCCAAGCCAAGGGTCAATCATCCTGACATTTGCCCTGAATCTGATTGGTCACAAATATAATCCCCCCCACCTCCTTCTTCCCCCCTCCCCCCCCCCCCCCCCTCCCTTTTTCCTCCTCCCTCCCTTTGTCTCCTTACACCACTCCCTATTACTCCTCTCCACCCCTCTTAACAGTGGACGTGTGTGGGTCGTACTTCAAGAACCCTTGCGCTGTGGGCACATGCATCAACGATGGCAAGGGCGCCTACTCCTGCATCTGCCCTCCCAACTACGTCCCCAGCCGAACCATTGACAACTTCCCCACCTGCGACCCAGGTGCTGCTGCAGCCCCACCTTCCTCTACTCTCTTGTTCCTCCTCCAACATTTGTAGCTCTCCTCTTTGTTCCCCACCTGCAAGACAGGTGCTTCTTCTCCCTCGCCTTCCTCTGCCTCTTATTCTTTCCCACGTGCCCATTATTCTCTCCAACAGCCCAGTCCCCCGAACCCGTTTCACGAGATTTTGTATTTCTGGGTATTGTTCTTTTGCTGAATGACTGAGCCGCATGCTGTCCTTTACTGAATGACTGTCACTAGTTGAGCTTGGGGAGGGTTTAAGAGTCAAAGGAAGGAAGCTTGTTGAGGAATGCGTTATGGAAGTGAGTAGCATCGTCCTTCCTTCTATCCTTGTCGCCCCCGTCGCCTCTTCAAAACTCAGCTTGTCCCTTCACTGAGAATTCATTTTTGTGGAAGCCGCAGAAGCTTTGTCCCTTATGGTTGCGAATTTCTGTTTTTTTTCCTATTTTCCTCCCTCGCCCTCTCGCTTTCCCCTCCAGCTAACATGAATGCCACCAGCATGACGGTAATTGGTGACAACTGGCAGTGCGTGGACGTGTATTCCCTTGCAGGGCTCTCCAGCACGCAATTCGCTCAACAAAACACAGTAAGGGGATATCATCAGGCAGCATGCAGTTCACTCTGCAGAAGTCGGTAAGGGGAGATCACCATGCATGGGAAGGAAAGAAAGAACTGAATTCGCCCTAGTTGAGTCGAGTCAGAAGCCGCCCTAGTTGTGCGGGGACGTGGAATCAGAATGGTATTCCCTCACAGGATTTCCAGCCCGCAGTTTTCACAGCTGACGGCAACTCGGTAAGGAGAGATCAACTGAAAGGGTTGACTGAACTCGGCTGGCGTGGAAGGTCTGAATATGTTGGGACAAAGTTTTATTCCTCTGCTTGGATAGCCTGAATAGCTTGAAGGGCCTGAATAGGCAGATTCACAATGGGCTTGTTATTTGCCATGTTCCTCTGCTTTGTTGTTTAGAATCTGTATTTGCAGTTGGCCCAAAACCCTCATGCCTGTGCTCTTAAATCCACATATTTCCCAGTGCCTGTAAGTCCTAATGCGTGTGATTCCCAATGCCTTTGATTTCCAATGCCTGTACTGCCTAATGCAGGCCGTTGCATGCAACAAAGCGCTACCTAAAGGGACGGTGCTTTAGCTCGCTGAATCTCCTGTCATCCCCTGCACTGCCTTCTTCTACGTTCTCAGTGTGAGTGCTGGAGCCAGCAAGAAAATAGCCTTGGATCCTTGTCTGTGTTATTTATTTTATTTATTATTACTATCTGTTTTTTCCCGAGTGCGAGATGTTGTCCTTTCACTAGAGCATTGTGATTCCATCTATTCAAGTCACTCTTGTTCGCTTGCCTTCTTTTCTCGCCTTCTAGTCTCGCCTTCTTGTCTTGCCTTCTTACTCGCCCCGCTTCGCCAAACCGAGCAGCCTCGCCTCAATACGTCTGCTTCAGTCTCAAGTGACTACACCATCATGCATCAGCACATCACTACTTTGCAACTTCCCCGGCTTCATATCCCCGTCTACTTTGCACCTCTGATGCTCAATTTAAATGTTTCCGATTCTCAACATTGTTCTGTCAGAACATTATAGCATATGCTTTTGTGCAGGCTATAGTGGGGTATCCCATAGGGGGTACAACCCAATTAGGGTTGGTACTTGTACTCACTCATTTCATAGTTGATTCATTCGTGTTCTTTCATTCCACATGGAATCAGAGCAGGTTCCCTCCTAGGGACTGCTTCTTGGGCCCACCGAAGCGCGCCCCGAGGCGCGCCTTCTTTTTTTAGCGACCCTCCTTGTCGCCTCTAGCGGCCCGTCGCGCCGCCTTCTTCTACGTTCTCAGTGTGAGTGCTGGAGCCAGCAAGAAACTAGCCTTGGATCCTTGTCTGTGTTCTTTTTTTTATTTATTATTATTCTCTGTTTTCTCCAAAGTGCGAGATGTTGTCCTTTCACTAGAGCATTGTGATTCCATCTATTCAAGTCACTCTTGTTCGCTTGTCTTCTTTTCTCGCCTTCTAGTCTCGCCTTCTTGTCTCGCCTTCTTCTCTTGCCTTCTTACTTGCTCCGCTTCGCCAAACCGAGCAGCCTCGCCTCAATGCGTCTGCTTCAGTCTCAAGTGACTACACCATCATGCATCAGCACATCACTACTTTGCAACTTCCCCGGCTTCATATCCCCGTCTACTTTGCACCTCTGATGCTCAATTTAAATGTTTCCGATTCTCAACATTGTTCATCATCTCCCCTCTTCTTGCATTGTATGCCAATCATGAATTCATTTCATCCCTTTTATCCTCACTTCACTCTGCAGTACCGGCATGCATCACCATATTGCCACGTTGCAACTCACTGAATATCATAATACCCACCTCAAAACAGCATCCAACGAATGCCCCATAAATGCGGATAGTCTCTTGTCCATCAATCATCCTTCTCGGTCATCTTCCATCCCTTCCATCCTCTTCCATCCCTTCCATCCTCTTCCATCCGTTCATACTCCCTTCACCCTCCAGGGCGACACATGTGTGTCCATTGCCAGTTCTATTAAACTCACAAGAGACGATCTCACAGACCTCAACCCCGGCCTTGACTGCACGCAAACCATCAAGCCCGGCTGCTCGATCTGTGTGGAGCGCAACAGAACATACGCCTACAGCGTCCCTCAGTGTGTGAAATACGCCACGCTCGCAGCACAGAGCACGTGCGAGAAATTGCTGCAGGGGTTGGGACTGCCAAGCACTCCTTCCACCTGGGCTGAGCTCTACCGCAACAACCCCGGTCTTGTCTGCTCCAACACCATCCCTTTCACCACGTCGGCTATTGGCAACAAACTCGGCGTGCAGGTGAGAAGTGCAAGTGGGAAAGGAATGGGTGGGGAGAGGGGATGCGCAACGGGAGGTGGTAGGTGGGAGAATGAGGAGATTTGGAGCTAGCCAATCATCGGGGGCACTTACAGTGTCCATCCTTGCTTTGCTCCCAACCTTTCCTGTTTCCATCGTCCTATCGTTCTTCCTTCTCTTTTCTTTTCTACCCCGTGCCCCACGTGGTGCCCCCAGGTGTGTCTGCAAGCAGATTACTGGCCGTTTTTACTCGGAAAATGCACCAAGGGCCGGCCCAAGAATGTGTCCCCATCGCTGACCTGTCCAGGTGCTTACAGCTACTATGGGGGCACTATGAGCCAGGCAGCTTCAAATTTCAATACCTACAATGGCAATGCCTGTGCTGGGAAGGTCGAGGCTAAGTACATATGTGTGCCGCGTTAGATGAGAGGCATAAGTTTCTATTCAAGCACGGGGAGCCCCACCTTTCTATATTACTTCCACTACTATAAAACTACTATGGTTTTGTGTCCGTTTCTATTTTTTGGGTTGTTTGGCTCACTTTATTTCGGGTTTTAGTTTTCAACCCATTTCTTGCATGCGTCCCATTGTACAGTATCTTGTTGGGCTTATAAAATGTCTGTTTCTATTACCGTATTTAACATATGTCGACAGCTTTCAGGCTTTCAAACTGAGTTTGTTGTTGGTTGAGGGGAGTTGGATAGTGCTAGTGCTAGAAAGGAAGGTTCAGTACCTTATGACAAAGCCTTCTGGCAGAGGTGCCTGCCTCTTGGAGAAAAAAATAAGACGGATGAGGACTGTGATTGAACAGTGGCAATGGGGACAAACAAGGAGTCAGAGGCGGTTTTCTCCCTCTTTTCAATCATACGGATGCCTGCCGCGGGTTGTGGACCCACTCGGATTTCTTCCCCATTATTCTAATGGCGGGTGGCGAATGTCGCTCCTGTTTCTTCTTGGAGTCCTGTGCTGGCAACGTTGATAACTTATGTTGTCCATTAATTTTGGCATACCATACCGTATTTCATTAACTGGGTTGTGCATATCATTTTTCTATGGATGTGTGTGATTTGGGCCACAATCGGCCATATAGATGAGTCTGATCGTCTTCAAGTGTTGGGTCGAATCGAATTGATTAAGGGAATCGACGGGGTTGCGGATGAGCCGGATGCAGTCAGGTGTGTCGATGTCGAGGGAGTAATCCATGTTTTTAGGGCACTACTTGTATAAGGTCAGTGACCGTCATAGTGGTGTGGCGGCTGCATGACATTGAGGTTTAGATGTTGTGAACACGGTAAGAAGGCTGGATATTTAACTGTTTTATGTTAAAATTATATGAACCTAGGACCGAACGAGCAGGATATTCGGCTGCTTTTAGCGAACGTAACTGGTTGACCATGATGGCAAATCCAGCTTTGTGTGAAAAGCCCTGTGGACGAATTTGACTTGCGACTTTCGCTTCTAGTGGGCGAGATTGTCAGCTACCTAGGTGCCTGTCCGTGGCGTTTGACGAAGTCCGCAGATCCAACAACCGACAAGCACAGGCGGGTTATGGGCGAGGCGATGGCGTGGGGTGGTCCGCTGTCATCACAATGTACTGTATTGCTTCTAGAAAGACCGTACATGATCCTGGTTTCTCAGCTACCCGATGATCAGATGATTCGTTCAATGATTCGATATATATTTATACACGTAGATGGGTGGTCTTGGTTGCGATTTGTCGCTGGCTTCTTGCGTTTGGCAGATCTAGAGCCTGGAGACCTTTCATCAGACCAGCTCTGCATGCTCGTTCGACAAATCAAGGGATGTCAGCCAGGCTGAACCCCCTTGTTCCCGCGCCTTTCAGGGTCATATCGATATATGCTTACAAGTGTTCTCGTTTATAGTCCGACGGACTGAGACGCCGCGCGCGGACTATGTGCAAAACCCTTCAAACCCTGGGCAGAACGCAATACTTACAGTCCCGTTCAGGAAAATTGCATGAAGAGTGGATTTCTCGCTACTAGTCTTTGGATTTTGTCTTGTACATAGATTCGGTTCCCCGCGCTGATCAATGTCGCATGACAAACGGGCAAAACAAAACAGAATCAATTATGGTTTGGGGGTCGAATATAAGGTAAAAGAATCTAGTTTACTTTGCAAGCGAGGTAAATGAGATGTCATCGTCGAGCGAGCTGGAGACCGCGCGACAGGATTGAGGATTAATCACGCTCAAGAGAAACAATTACTTACAATTCCAAAGTTAAATATCAAATCAATAATCCCTTCTTTCATTTTCCCTGAATGTTGGGGCTGGTTCGATCTGGAGCATCTGATTGGCTGTAGAACTGATTCGTGCAATGATTCGGTCATGCTGCAAAATTTCCCGCCAAAAAAGGGACTATAGGGGTCGGGCCAACCCTAGGCGATATCAGAAAACTCTGCACAAGGGGGAAAAGGGACTCTCTCAGTGAGGGCCTCTAACCCGGAACATCTGTATTATGTAGTCAAAGGATATTGATAAGGAAACCCTCAGATTCTCTAGTAGAAACTATTGTGCTCGCTTAGAAGCCAGTGGGACTACTTCTCTGACCCCCACTCTCCTCCCCTTTCTGCCCCTACCAGCAGACCCTAAATCCATCCACTCCGGCGTAATGAGAGCTGTTTCGAGAGCAGCTCAACGACTACTCAAATTAAGATCCGCACCATGTTATATATCTGCTCACCTTGTAAATGGCCGGGTGCTGCCTTGCCATGTCACCACTCGTCAAATTTGTTTTAGAGTTAAGAAAGACCTTGAGCTTAGTGTCTTCTTCCACATCTAAAATCATGCTGTTAAACAAAGTGGCTATGGAGGAAGTATTGCCTTGTTTTTGGGTTGTATAGCAACCCTTTAGATTTGGTTTCACATTTTGGGGATATCATTTGAAGAGTGTTATTTACGCACTTTTTGGAGCACTTGTTTGAATGTTTTGAATCTGTGCTCAAACGGATGCCTCAAACAGTGGATAAAAAACACTCTTGAATGAGATCCCCAAAACACGTACGCACGTACGCATCATGTTGAAACCATGAACTTGCTCGACCGTCACAACCTCGTCGATAAATACGGCGGATCGTACGGCCGAGCATAATATTCTGGCATCAACATGAACGAATGCAATTGTACAAATGAACAACAAGGTACCTATCAGAACATTATAGCTTATACATTTGTGTAGGCTGTAATGGGGTAGCCCATAAGGGGTACAACCCAATTAGGGTTAGTACTTGTACCCAACTCTTTCATAGTTCAATCATTCTCTCGTTTCAATCTTCACATGGTATAGAGCTGGTTCCCTCGTGGGAACTGTTCCCAGGGCCCACCAAATTAGTTTTTCCTGCCCGGAGCACGCTTGGCCTCTGCCCGAGTCGCGCCCCGAGTCGTTTCCCCTCTAGCAGCCTCTAGCGGCCCCTAACGGCCCCGTCCCGCCACCCTTTCGGCCCCGTCGCGCCGCCCTTGCGGCCTCGTCACGCCGCCCTTGCGGCCCCGTTGCACCGCCCCTTACGCGGCCTCGTAGCCGCCCTTTCCTACGGCCCCGTCGCGGCCCTTTCGGCCCCGTCACGCTGCCCTTGCGGCCTTGTCGTGCCGCCCCTTACGCGGCCTCGTTGCTGCCCTTTCCTACGGCCCCGTCGCCGCCCTTTCGCGGCCTCGCCGCCCTCCCTTACAGCAGCCCCGTTGCCCGCCCTTTCGCGGCCTCGCCGCCCTCCCTTACAGCGGCCCCGTCGCCCGCCCTTCCGCGGCCCCGACCTCGCCCTTCAGAGGCCCCGTCGCCCGCCCTCTTAGCGGCCCCACCGCCGTTCTTTCAGTGGCTCCGTTGCCGCCCGCCCTTTCAGCGGGCCCCGTCGCCGCCCTTTCAGCGGCCCCACGACCGCCCTTTCAGCGGCCCTACGCCGCCCTTCCATCGGCCCGTCCCCGCCCTTTCAGCGGCTCGTCGCCGACCTTTTAGCGGCCCCACCGCCGCCATTTCAGCGGCCCCGTAGCTGCCCGCCCTTTCAGCGGGCCCCGTCGCCACCCTTTCAGTGGCCCTTCGCCGCCCTTCCCGCGGCCATGTCGCCGCCCTTCCACGGCCCCGTAGCCCGACACTCTCTCGCAAATCTCTCCTCTCTTTGCCAATCTAATAACCTCATTTTTCTGCCCTTTTTACATCGCATTCACTTCCCGTCCCAACCCTCACGACTTACTCTTCTGCATTACAGAAAATCACGTACCCTGTTCAGGGCTTTGAGCGCACTGCATTCAACGGGTATGTGGGGCTTTTGCTGGCAGTGCAGAAGCAGCCAGTGGTGGTTCACATTGAAGCCACTGTTGCCTCCTTCGCCAAATACGACGGGGTGAGTGAAACCAAGTCGCTTTTGTTTGTCTACAAATGGTTGGTTGCTCCTTTCCGCTTCCTGCTTGCCACAAGTGATGTGGCACAGTTTATCGCTACATTTCTACCAGTAATGTGGGGAACAGGAACGTGAATATATGTCATGTAACTCATACAATGTTATGCTGTTTATAAAAGAACAACCAGTGCTCCTAATGTTTTTTTTTACTTGATATGCACCTTGGCAATGCCTATACGCTGTGCATATACACTTCCTTATTTATGTTATCTAGCCAGTATATTTTCATGTTTGCCTTTCTGTCTCCAGACTTTTAAGTACCAGGATCCTGGCTGCTATACCGGCAACCTGAACCACGTCGTACTCGTTGTTGGATACTTCGTTTTGAGGGATGATGGGAGTGAGAACCGCATTGCGCCGCCGTTTTGGATCATCCGCAACTCGTGGGGCGAGGAGTGGGGAGACAGGGGCCACATGCGAATGGACATGCAGGGAGGCGATGGCGTGTGTGGCATCAACGTGCTGCCTGGCATCTACCCCATTGTCAAGAGTGAGGCACCTACCATATCAGGTTGTTTTCCTACTTCTTGAAGGGTCAAAAATCGCTTCCATTCCCAATAATGGAGCATATCTATGAGTTATTTGCATGCTCCTGGTTCTTTCTATGGAACTTCAGCTTTCCATGGGGTTCATTCATCCTTCCCTTATCTCCTCCTGCCCTCTATATCTTGTGTGCCATCCAGTCCCCAAGGAACAGTGATAACAGCTTCGTTAAGGGTCAGCAAGCACGCCCATTCCCAAGAATAAGAGCTATTTGCGTGCTCCTTTCCATCTCTTTCTCTTTTGAGGGGTTCATGAGAAAGCTGACACGTCAGCTTTCCTGAGGTTCATGGGGTTCATCCTTCCCTTATCTCCTCCTGCCCTCTCTCCCTCTCTTCTGTGCCTTCCACTTCCCAAGGACCCATGCGGCTTGAAGAGCTACAAGGGCGATGGAGATCTTCAGCCCAGCATAAACCCCGTGCAGTCGCTTCACTTGCATGCCCAACCTCAAGACCAACAGCAACACATGCAACTGC